ACTCCAGTCTGGGCGACAGAGTGAGACTCCAACTCAAAAAATAATAATAATAATAATGGCAGGAAGCGGCGACCCACGCCTGTAATCCCAGCACTATGGAAGGTCGAGGTGAGAGGATTGCCTGAGGCCACCGGTTCGAGACCAGTCTGGGCAACTTGGTGAGCCCTCATCTCTGCAATGAATCAAAAAATCAGATGGCTGTGGTGGCACATACCTGTAGTTCCCGCTACTTGGAAGGCTGAGGCAGAAAGATTGCTGTGCCACTGCGCTCCAGCCTGAGCCACAGGGTGACTCCAACTCAAAATAATAATAAAATAAAAATATAATACATATAGAGCATCAACCAATCGGCAGCATCCTTCTTACTTAAAAATCTCCAGTTTCTTTGAAGTCCACAGACCTTTTGGTGGGTCATACTTCCCTCAACATTAGCTCATTCCTTATTGTCGTCCTTTCTACCTGTACTTCTCTTCTTCATTCAACATGCATGACCCAACACCCGAGGTCTCAGTTCTTTACCTCCTCACTTCCAAAAATCCTTGTTTTTCTCTATCAGCCATCCACTCTTCCACCTCCCCCCATCATGGTCATCCCTATATCTGCTATTGCCAGTAACTAAACCATCTCTAAAATCTCTGGTTCAAGCCTCCCTCTCACTGATCATCACTCCTTTTCCTTCTGGCTTACCATGGCTTGCTTTACTGACCTCCGGATTCTTTGAGCTCATCAAAACCTCCAAACCATTAAATATATTTTTTCAGTATTTCTCACATTTTTATTTTCATAACTTGGCTCACCCAATTTAGATGTTATGATTTCCTTCAAATACAAACAACTCTTGTTTTTCTCTTTTTTCATTACACTCACCTGGTAGAACCCCAACTCTAGCTGAATTCAACAATTCACTTTCTTTAACAGGGACTGAAACTTTCAATTTTAATTTTTGACCACAAACTTCAAAAGGGCAGTTTTACTAAGTTTACCTAATAAGTTCACTTTCCTAGCCTGGGCGTGGTGACATGTGCTTATACAACCAGCTTCTTGGGAGGCTGAAGTGAAAGGATGGTTTGAGCCCAGGAGTTTGAGTCATTATGGTATATGGTGTGCTATGATCACGCTACTGCACTCCAGCCTGAGTGACAGAGGGAGACCCCATCTCTTTTTTTTTTTCTGATTTTTTTGGGGGCCAGAGTCTCACTCTGTCGCCCAGGTTGATGTGCAGTGGCACACTCAGCCTGGTGTTGGTGGGCTCAGATGATCAATCCATCAGCCTCAGCCTTCCTAATAGCTGGAACTACAGGTATGCGCAACCATATCCAGCTAATTTTTTCGGTTTATTGGGGGTTTTTTGTGTGGTTTTTGTTTTTGTTTTTTTGAGTCAGAGTCTCACTCTGTCGCCCAGGTTGGAGTGCAGTGACACACTCATGACCACCACAGCCTCGACCTACTGGACTCAGGCGATCCTTTCGCCTCAGCTTTCCGAGTAGCTGGAACCACATGTGCATACCACCATGCCCAGCTAATTTTTTAATTTATTGTAGAGACACGTTCTCACCAAGTTGCCTAGGCTGGTCTTGAACCCCAGGATTCAGGCAGTCTTCTTGCCTCAGCTTCCCAAAGTGCTGGGATTACAGGCATGAACCACCACTCCTGGCTAATTTTTTATTTATTGTAAAGACAAGGTCTTGCCAAGTTGCCCAGTCTGGTCTCGAAACTCTGGGCTCAGTCAATCCCAAAGTGCCGGGATTGCAGGCGAGAGCTACCATGGCAGGCAACCCCATTTCTTTTTTCTTTTTTCTTTTTTTTAAGCAGGACTTATTGAGAGGACAGAAAAGTAGGAGGAGACCTGAGGGGGTTGCCCAACCTCATCTCTTAAAAAGAAAGAAAGTTGACTTTCCCACTACCAAAAATAGTTTGTTTCATGCTTTCTCTCTTCAAACCCTCATACTCTCTTCTTTTACCCTACCATAACTAATGACCTCTCATATTTCCTTGAGAAAATAGCAATCATCAGAGAGGAATGTTCTCATCCAATTGAAAAACCACAAGCCTAATTGCATTTGCCCATCTTTTAAAATCTTCTTTCTTGATATCATGAAATGTGTGACTTTGTCTCATCAAAGAGCAAACCCATGGCTTGTTTGAGTGCAGTGGTGTTTACAACGAATTGATTACAACTAGTTACAGTTTTCTTTGTTCCTTCTCCACTCTCTTTGCTTCACTTGACTAGTACTATTTTATTTATTTATTTATTTATTTATTTGTAGTCTTTGTCATCCAGGCTGGAGTGCTGTGGCACACTCACGGCCACCCCAGCGTCATTTGCCAGGCTCAGGTGATCCTTCTGCTTCAGTCTTCCAAGTAGCCGGAACTACAGGTGCATGCTACCATGCCTGGCTAATTTTTTTTTTTTTTTGAGTTGGAGTCTCACTCTGTTGCC